CCCCCCACACACACACAGGGACGAATGACCAGGAAAGACCTGGGACTAATCTGTAAGGCCCCAATGAAGGGGGAGGCTGAAGAGGGTTGTGCAACCTGCGAGCCGTGTACTGCCAGTGAAGGAAGGAGTGGAGCAGGGCCACCCAGCCCATGACCCCCCAGGACAGTCTGGTGAGATGACAGCCTCCATGAACCATCTGCTCAAATCCTGGTTGCTGCCCCTACCAGTCAATCCACACTCGAGGAAAACTCAGGGGTCTCAGCTGCGTGTATGTATGTGCTGCAGGGAGCATGCCGGCTCTTCTCAGGGCCAGGCTGCAGAGCAGGGGACTTGTGTGTGTGGAGGTCTGCCACCTTCCTGCACTTCCTGGACTGCACTGTGGAACAGAAGGTGCTGTCGCTGACTCAGCTGTTTGGGGAAAACACTTTGGAAAAGTACTGAACCCACTGCCCCAGGCAGGAGACTGTGCTCGGCTAAACCCCGGTCACCAGGCAACCTCTCCTTCCGCCAGGTGTTCTGGCTGAAGGTGTGCCCAGGTTTGGGAGGGCAGGTGAAGGGCGTGGCCCACCGGGGTCTGGGCTTCTTTCTGGGGTAGGGGGATGGACACAGGGAAAGGAAATGCTGCAGGGGACACCATGGGTTGGCTAAGCTCTAAGAATTTGTACCTGCTCAAGGAAGTGGGGGAGACTGGAAGGCTGTGGACAAGCACTTCTTGGAACAGAACCCAGGAGCACAGTGCCCAGGAGTCAGGGTCCTCTTTGGATGATAGGGAGGGAGCAGGCCACAGTGCCTTCTCTGGACACACTAAGACCCCCAGGAGACCAGCGACAGGAGGAGCCTCTTGGTCCAGCAACACACCTTCTTGGCTGCTGCTCCTGTACACAGAGTGGTCAGTGCCTGGAGTGGCCCCTCTGAGGTCAGAGCCAGCTGTACCTGGCCTTGAGCCTGCACCGCAGGAAACTGAGAAGGTTTAGAGGCTAACTTTCCTGTAAATCAGCAGCTGAGGAATCAGGCACCAGCCACAGCTCAGTGACCAGTTCAGGGAAAGGTGGCCTTGGCAGCGGGACAAAGGGGGTTGAAGAGGGAAGAAAAGGCAGAACCCAGTGAAATTCAGAAAAGCCAGGGTCCCAAGGAAGGCTCTCTTCCACTCCTGCCCTTTCAGGAAGGCCCCAAAACTTCACGCCTCTGCCTGGGCCAGGTGGTCATGCTGAGCCCCACAGGCCAATAGAAAGCAGCACTGGAGGGTGGCCCCCAGGAGGATGCCAAGCACCCCTAACACCCTCAAGTCTCAGGCCTGCTAAGCCCTGGCGAGAGGCCACTCAGGACCAGTTCTTGGGGAGTCCTGCACTTTCACACCCAGACGCTTTAGAGGGACTTCCCTTAGCTCCAAAGGAAGCACAATAAGAGCTGGCTTTGGTTATTCATACTAAAGTGAAAATGAATACTGTGTTGACCTATCCCAGGAAATCTGTGATCTGGATCCCCAGAACCTGTGAATATGCTGCCTTAAATGACAAAAGAAACTTTGCAGAAGTGATTAAGTGAAGGATCCTGAGATGGGGAGGTGATCCTGCATTATCTGGGTGGGCCCAATATCATCACAGGGGTCCTTAGAAGGGGAAGCAGAGAGATCTGACTGCAGAGAAGGCTGCACGGATGACCTTGAAGGTGGAGGCTCTGAGAGAGTCTTTCCTTGCTTTCTCCAGTTTCGAAAGGCCTCCTGCTATCCCCGCCCAGGAAACAGTCTCTCGAGTCTGCAGGAGGAGCACAGCCTGCAGGCTTCTGGAGATTTCAGACCTCAGAACTGTGCTGCTTTAAGCACTAGTCTTGTGGAAATCCGTCATAGCCCAGGAAACTAGCAGCGAGTCTGAGCACGAACGCCGTGATTAGCAACCTTGGAGAGGGTGTGCAGTTGGTCTGTTCCTCCAGATCTAGTCATGCCACCACTAAGATCTATTCCACTTCTAAGAAATGACAGAATGTTTTGAGAGAAGGTACCTCTGTTTCCACAGAAGCCAGAGAGGCTGATCCAGTAAACGGCATGGCCATCCCCACTGCACCGTTAGTTCTGGGGGTTCCCATGGCTCTGATCCTTGCCTCTATCTTAGTGACAGGAAGTCTGAGGCCGAGAAAGAGGGAGAAGCATTTGTGGAATCCCACAACTAGAAATGGCAGGTCCTGGGTGGGAACCAGGAGTCTCTGACCCAAAAGTCTGTGCTTCTTCCTTAGGGCCCCCCAAAAATCAGACACGGCACAGCTGTCGGTCCTTAAGTCTCCACAGCAGAACCTCTCTGGACAATGGACTCCCATGGCCTGGAGCTGGGCGTGGCAAGGCCTGAAGACGTCCAGGCTCACAGGGGGATGCAGGAAGAGCCAGAGGTCTGGCTGCAGGAACATCCCTGCCTGTCCCTGAGAAAGGCCCTGGCTCCTGCTGAAGGACCCTTTCAATGACTGTGACTCAGTGGGAGGGACATCACCACCAGAGCCCCACATGTCCAAGCTCCACACGACCTCCCTCAACCTTTAACAGTCACCATTCAGCTCCTTCCTTTAGGACAGTCCCCTCTACAGTCCCCACTGTGACTATTAGCATCTCAATGTTCTTTAATCTGGAAAAATAGAGAACTTGTGTTTGGTTAAAAACAGGAAACTGGCAGCCTGTTACCAAGGCTTGTGGAGGAACAAAAGCCAACATTATTCACTCTTCCTACAAGCTGAGTGCCCACTAAGCAGTCACGTGACTTCACTCCTGAGTCCTCCTGACCCTGTGAAGTGTCTCCATCCCAGGGGACAGCCAGTCTTGGAGAAGGTCCGGGCCCTACCTCTGCATTGGACACCTGGCACAATTGGTGGAAAAGGCCCACTCACAAAGGCTGCCT